ATAGCGTTTATTGCTGCCATGGAATCTATAAAGCTACTTGCTTCATACTCATGTTAATCTACCCATCTCAGGGCGTGCACGCACCCCAAACCAGCATTATGCACACCTTCAATGTTTTCTATCCAGAACTTTTGATTATCTTCCGATACAAGATTCCATTGGGTGCAAAGAGTGGTGTGGAACATCACTTGGGCGATACCAAAGGTTTGATGTTTGAAATATGGAGATAATTGCAGAGAGTTTTAAAGCATTTCAGCTGGTAAGTTCAGAAGAGTAAGGTTTTGAATAAAAGCGTCAAACCTCTTTCAATATTCACAGGAAATAAGCAAACATGCAAAAGTATAATGCACTCTGAAAATCCTGAATCGGATATTCGCTGACAAATCACATGACCAATGACCAAAGTCAAACTACAGAATTGTGAAGCAGCAGTAAACACGTAAAGTTTGACAGAAATTGGACTAGCTTTTGCTGACCAACAGGGCATTATGTCTCTAATGAATCTATCCCCAATGGCTGTCGTCCGTCCGCATCTGTCTTTGTGCGTGCTTTTGGAGCAATATGTTACCATTCCAGCTACCAACAGACTCCGGTTTGACTTCATTAGTCAAGTGCAGCTGAAACAGGATTTCGTTGTTGCCGACAGTCCATTCTGATCATGACATTAGTTTCCCTGCCAACACAGCACGTCAGAGTGACATACACAAACCAGCTCCTTGTGCTAATGTTCCAGCACCAATTCCCCTTAGAAATCTAGACAAGTCATGTCTCAATTTATGTAGTTTGCATTTTGGTACTGCTAAGAGGCACTCCAGAGGCACAACTGAGCATCCAAGAAATTCTCTCTCGTCCTCTGGATTGAGGGATGATTTGTCGCTGATTAATCGCCAACCTAAAATCCCAAAACAACTTAGTACAGTATCTCGACAGGCATATATATATGCAGGTGGCGCTGAAAGCTAGTGGTCATCAAACAAATGAAGTTACCCTGAAGACTACTGATCTTGCGTGGATCACCATTTCAAGTGTTGTCTTTTATGAAATACTACGGACTTATTTTCAGTCCAAATGGCAGAACAGCCTATTCCTAATACTGATCTCTGGAACTCTTTGAATACGAATAGGAAAATACATATGGTAAAACCCAGTCTTTAAATACCATGTGATCATATGATCACAAACTTCTATGACATGTTTTGGGTACGATATATTGTCATATCTAAATGAGACTGTTCAATTGTCTGTAATCAGTACTGGACCAGTGTGTAACCTTGTTCATCAACGCTTCACAGCTGTGCAATACATTTTGGATCTTGTCATTTGTTCCTATAGCACCGGTTTTAAGCAAATATTTCATTATAGAGTCAGTCAAACTTGTTTTCAGAACAGGTGTAACACCTTTCCACTTATACAAGATAAAACGAAGTAAAGTGGGCTCACAAACCATGTCACTTCAGAACACATTTGACAAGTATCCCGGGGATCACCCGAGGCACATCAATACGTGACGCTGTGTGCTTGGTGTCAACTGTCGACTGTGCAAGCACGTGTTGAGTTGCCTTGTAGTATCAGCTACCTGTAGGGCAGGATATGCTTACATTTTTTGCGAGCATCTGCATGACTTATTTTTAGCGTCCCATTCATATAATTCTCAACGCTGTTTCGTCGGATAATCTGATGTTCACTGGCTTTGACGTTTTACGCATTCTAACAAAACCATTTGCCTGCTCCTGTTGTTAATATGCAATATTAGCCTGCATAACAGACCATAGTTCCCCGGGGGACCGGTAAGATGTTCAGGTCGTCGCTCATTGACGCTACGATCTTTAATGGCGTTTCTGACTGTATAAGGTGGTGGTCGGGTAGCCTAGTGGTTAAAGCGTTCGTTCGTCAGGCCAAAGACTGGGGTTCGATTCCCGACATTGCTACAATTTGTGAAGCCCATTACTGGTGTCCTCCACCGTTGTAAAGGTTGCAATATTGCTAAAAGCGGCGTAAAACCATACTCACTCACTCACTCTGAATGTTTTGTGCCAATCGTAACTGGGCAAAAGAAAGTGTTCACCGACTTCACTTGACCAAACACCAAAAACAAAGGCATATGTGAGATTTATTATGATTAATTTATAAACAGAAATCATTTTCCATGAATGAGAATGAAAATGCATTGTAATGCCGATAATGCATTCTCCGCAATACACAAAGAAAAAGTCAAGGTCTCCAAATTAAAATTTACACAAATCAGAGTTCATTGAAAAAGTGCATGAAAAGTCCATTAATGACACAGGTCGGGTAGCCTAGTGGTTAAAGCTTTCGCTCGTCACGCCGAAGATTCGGGTTCGAATCCCGACATGGGTACAATGTGTGAAGCCCATTTCTGGGGTCCCCCGCCGTGATATTGCTGGAATATTGCTAAAAGCGGCGTAAAACCAAACTCACTCACTCTCTAATGCGATTTGGCGCCAGTCGCTCTCCCATTCATCGAAAAACTCGAACTCTGCCATCGTTCCATAACAGACAGAACCGACTTTCATCTGTAAAGAGCACTCTCGCCCAGTCACGTCGCTGCCACCGACGTACAGTTCGTGCCCATTGCAGTCTGCGTTTACGGTGTAGACGGGTCAAGGCCATTCCACGGAAGGGTCGGTAGGCTCGTATAAACCAGCCGTACGAAGTCGTCGAAGGACTGTTCGTCTGCTGATGGCACTCCCTAGCTATATAGTGCTGTTGCCGCCGTTGACGTTGCCGTCGCACATCTGTTTCGGAGGTGAATCTGCCGGATGTAGCGGTTTTCGGCCGTGGTGCCACTCTCGGTCTCTCCGATCTTGGCCGGTCTTGAGTCTGTCCTGTCTGTTGGTAGCGGATTATCAACTTGCTGATGGTGATAGCTGAACGTTCTGGCTATCTGACGTTGAGTAGCCCCCATATTGGCCATACCGATCGCTCTGTCTCCTTGCGCTTGTATAAATCTAGGCATATTCTTGGTGGTTTTTTGCTTACTGGATGCCGGTTCTGTCCAATTACAACGTCGGTATTTATGCCACAATCACGCACGTGCATTTGGACCAATGTCTCAAAATCACGTTTTGCACGTTTTCAACAATGCATGATTTGGAAAGCTGCGTTCGAAAATCTGCGTTGTGGTTGTGGTCATATTGCATTTGGGCGAATGTTTTCTGAGGGGGTTCAAACCTTTACAAGCCTTTTTGCTTTTTATACAACTATTTTTAAAGTGAAAACTTTCTTTTGCTCGGTAGTTTAGTATGCCAGTTGTGAGTGAGTGAGTGAGTTGGGTTGAACGCCGCTTTTAACGGTATTCCAGTTATATCGCGGTGTGTCAGCTTAATGTGGGAGGAAAGCCCGAGGTGATGCAGGTCTCAGACGTTGACCACTTCGGTGAAACCCACGAGCACGGGTATGGTGCTGACAAACCTAGAAACATAATCGGGGCGAACCGGGATTCGAACCTACAATCATAGGTTTCTGGCGTGCCCAAGGGACGCAACTCTGCACAGCGAATCGCGGCGCCTTAGACGACTGGGCCACCCGTGCCCCCCATGTCAGTTGTGTATAATGTTAATCATAAAATATTAATGTTAATATCCATCGACACTCCAGGACTCATTACCTGATAACAGTTAAAATGTCAAAGATTTGGGATATTATTTGTTCAACAGTGTCGTCAGACAATTAATACCAAAGTAATAATTGATGTTGCAGTAATAATGATGTTGCATTTCTTTCTTCTCGATGTGAGGTGTGGAATCCTTAAAGACCGATTGCTGCAATCTGCAATGTCGCCCTCGTGAAAACAAGGCGGTACGGGTGGCCCAGTCGTCTTTGGCGCCGCAATACGCTGTGCAGAGTCGGTCCCTTGGACATGCAAGAAACCTATGAACGTGGGTTCGAATCCCGGTTCACCATGATTATGTTTGCAGGTATGTCAGCACCATATCCTTGCCGTCTGTTTGAGTTTGATCAAAGTAGTAAACATCTGAGTCCTGCTAGATATAACTATCTTTTAAAGTCCAGTTTCCACCCTTGCCGAACAAGGGTGGAATGACTGGGCTCGATCGTAGCGCCACCAGTGGCTATTATCAGTTACGTCCCTTCTAAGCCTCTCCTATTGACCAATCAGATTCCACCTCTAGTATCACATGCGTTTGCTTCAAACAAAATGGTGGCGCCCAGTCAGGACGACTTGATCTATAATCAATATCTATATTGTCTTAAAATGGGTCATACATCGCTAAATGCATCAAATCACGTGAGCACCTTGATTAAAAACATGAAAAGATTTGGAAAATATCTGCTGACAACGAGTTGGCGGTGCACATGCTTTGCAAATCCTGCAATCAACAGAAATCTGCACAACAGTTTACGACCCGGATTTCGTGCGCGATTTTGATTGGACTATGCATAGACTCGTTAGTCCAGCCAAAATGTGACTCCATAATACCAGCCTAGTTCGGCAAGTGGGGAAACTGAACTTTTATAGTAAGTAAACGCCCTTGCCTCGGGATGATGGAGATAACTGGAGTACTCTTCAAAGTAGCCTTACATCCAACTCACGCTTATCACGTCAACAAGCAATGTTGCAAAGTATGAGTTTTACAGCATATTCCGGGTAGCCTAGTGGTTAACGCGTTCGCTCGTCACGCCGAAGACCAGGGTTCGATTTCAGACATGGGTACAATGTGTGAAGCCATTTCTGGTGTCTCCCATCATGATATTGCTGGAATATTGATAATAGCGGCGTAAAACCATACTCACTCACTCGTCCACTATAAAACAAGCAAGAAGTGTCTTCTGGGATTCCATTGTGGGGTGATGTAGGCATGAATGATATCATGACAATACTAATTGTCCACTAATGGAATGCTCTGGACAGCTTCGTCAATAAGTCTCATCAGCGATAATGTGTTTCCATTAGTGACATTTAAATCTATAATGTCTGTGTGCAGAGCTGCCAGTGTAATGTCAGAAGTGAATGGCATTACGTAACGGAGAACATACGAGGAACTGTCGGTTTGTGAACAGGAACAGCCCGGTTGTGGTGAAGTGACTCTTATTCACGAGCAGTCAGCAGGTATGTTCTCTAATTTATACCGACTTTCTCACACTTAAAATACGCTTTTAGACTTTGACAAAATATTTCTGTGTGGAATATATTTGACAAAAAAACACTTTGTTGTATGTATATATACTGTGTGAGTCGCCTTTGCCTCCTGCGCGAGCAAAATGTGACGATCGGGATCATGTAAAGTGTTGAAGCGCCAAGTTTCGTCGCGATTTTGTCTTTATAATGCATGGCGAGGGCTCTTGTTCAGTGCCGCATTGCATTGCCAGATGACCATGTATCTGTTTGTGTTTAGGATTTCGCATTTTTATAGTCAGACACACATTGTATGCAGTTTTAAACTAAGTCTCCTGACCACACGTTATCGCTCTCCAACAAGCATATGTGTTATTGACCCCTAGACTAGAAAATTCTAGTTGTCCCTAATAGAAACTGTAGTCCTCCACATATCTAGCCTTGCCTATTAGGAGGATAGAATTACTACACATCCATGCACTTATCTTTCAGTACAGCCTTGGAGCAAGACTTATTTTCCCCCTGCACTTTTTCAGCCACGGTTCACACCAGTGAAAAGTTTATATTTAGATACAGAGTTGATACATCTCTGCTGCCACCAAGGCTTGCACACAGGTCGACCCACGCCCGAAGCTTCAACGCCCACCCCACGAGCCTCCTGTCCTCGCCTTTCTATTGTGATTTCAACTGTCCTCGTGTCAAACATAATACGGCTGAAAATAGGCATTAATAAAAAAAATGATAGCTTTAAAAGCACCGAGTTCCAACAAATTGAAATTCTACCTAGCGATTGGTATCTTTCTCACGCGATTTATGTTGAAATGTCTGGTATTTCAGCAGTTTGAAAGGGGCGTGAATATGTGAAATTTGTCTTTCATTTTGACCCCAATATCATTAAAGCTGCAGGAAGCAACACTGTTGCATGTGTTGTGTGCACAGAAGATGACTGATCACTTTGTTTGTTTGCTTGTTAGTTGTTAAACGCCGCACTTAGCAATAAATATTCCAGCTATTTGACGGCGGGATAATTGTGTAAAGCAATGTAGCAAATATCATCAAGGTGCTTATGCAGTTATTAATTAATTGATTATATCCCAGTTCTTTAGTATACACAAGTAACGCGAAGATTCCAATGTATTCGCCTTTGCTATTTCTCTTCACAATTACAACCACATTACAAAATGCCATGCCTGCAACGTTATGTATCGTGTGTGTTTTTCAATGACCGGTGGTGAATAATTCTGGGTTGTTATCTCTTTCCCATCGTGGCGCATCCCTGCCGCAGAGTGAATCAAACAGCAGCTGCCTCCGTCTGTACTGGAAGCTGGCGTTTATGCCGCAGAGGAAACAGACATCGCATTGCTGAAGACACTAGGTAAGTAATACGTCCAGTCAGTATAAAACATGTTTTATTTGTTACACAGTTTCACTAACAAGCTTTTGTCTGTGTTGTAGATTTCTTGGAGATGGATATGAAGACGGTGCTTCTCTTGGTGGCAGGGATGTTAGGTAAGGACAATCTTTCAGAGTGTGCGAATTGAATGTAACGCCGCATTGAACAGTATTTAAGTTATGTCAGGGTGTATCAGCTTGGTCTAAGACGTTCCCCGATTCGGTGGATGCAAACAGTGCGAAATAATGCAAAGAGACCAAAAAGCAGAATCAGGGGGAATCTCGATTCTGACCTACGATCTAGGGATCCTCTCACGGTCACTGGGCGCAACTGATGGGTAATCGGACCACGCGAGCAATTCCCTCAGAATTATGGAGGGAGCGTGTCAGGTCCTTGTTTCACAGTTAAGGTGGTCATCTGTTCATGTATGTCTGTATGGCTCCTTTGTATGGTTGTTTTGTATAGTTGTATTGTCTAGTTGTATAGTATGGTTGTGTTGTATGATTGTGTTGAATGAATGAATGAATAAATGAATGAATGAATGAATCATTGAATGAATGAAACCCTGATGAATCCTTGTTTCCCTGATATCGCTCTGTTGTTTCCCATCTCCCGTTTATCCCTGATATGTTTCTGTTGTTTCCCATCTCCCGTGCATCCCTGATATCGTTCTGTTGTTTCCCACCTCCCGTGTATCCCTGATAGTGTTCTCTGTTTTTTCTCATCTCCTGTGTACCCCTGATATTGTTCTTTTATTTCCCATCTCCTGTGTACCCCTGATATTGTTCTTTTATTTCCCATCTCCCGTGCATCCCTGATATCGTTCTGTTGTTACCCATCTCCCGTGTACCCTGATATTGCTCTTTTATTTCCCATCCCCCTTGTATCCCTGATATTGTTCTGTTGTTTCCCATCTCCAGTTATCCCTGATATTGTTCTGTTGTTTCCCATCTCCCATGTATCCCTGATATTGTTCTGTTGTTTCACATCTCCCGTGTATCCCTGATATTGTTCTGTTGTTTCCCATCTCCAGTTATCCCTGATATCGTTCTGTTGTTTCCCATCTCCCATGTATCCCTAATATTGTTCTTTTGTTCCCCATCTCCCGTGTATCCCTGATATTGTTCTGTTGTTTCCCATCTCCCGTGTATCCCTGATATTGTTCTGTTGTTTCCCATCTCACGTGTACCCCGATATTGTTCTGTTGTTTCCCATCTCCCGTGTATCCCTGATATTGTTCTTTTGTTTCCCATACCCCGAGTACCCCTGATATTGTTCTGTTATTTCCCATCTCCCGTGTATCCCTGATATTGTTCTGTTGTTTCCCATCTCCCGTGCATCCCTGATATCGTTCTGTTGTTACCCATCTCCCGTGTACCCTGATATTGCTCTTTTATTTCCCATCCCCCTTGTATCCCTGATATTGTTCTGTTGTTTCCCATCTCCAGTTATCCCTGATATTGTTCTGTTGTTTCCCATCTCCCATGTATCCCTGATATTGTTCTGTTGTTTCACATCTCCCGTGTATCCCTGATATTGTTCTGTTGTTTCCCATCTCCAGTTATCCCTGATATCGTTCTGTTGTTTCCCATCTCCCATGTATCCCTAATATTGTTCTTTTGTTCCCCATCTCCCGTGTATCCCTGATATTGTTCTGTTGTTTCCCATCTCCCGTGTATCCCTGATATTGTTCTGTTGTTTCCAATCTCACGTGTACCCCGATATTGTTCTGTTGTTTCCCATCTCCCGTGTATCCCTGATATTGTTCTTTTGTTTCCCATACCCCGAGTACCCCTGATATTGTTCTGTTATTTCCCATCTCCCGTGTATCCCTGATATTGTTCTGTTGTTTCCCATCTCCCGTGTTTCCCTGATATTGTCCTGTTGTTTCCCATCTCACGTGTACCTTGATATTGTTCTGTTGTTTCCCATCTCTCGTGTATCCCTGATATAGTCCTGTTGTTTCCCATCTCCCGTTTATCCCTGCTATTGTTGTGTTGTTTCCCATCTCCCGCGTACCCCTGATATTGTTCTGTTGTTTCCCATCTCCCATGTACCCCTGATATCATTCTGTTGTTTCCAATCTCCCGTGTATCCCTGATATCGTTCTGTTGTTTCCCATTCCCGTGCATCCCTGATATTGTTCTCTGTTCATTCCCATCTCCCATGTACCCCTGCTATTGTTGTGTTGTTTCCCATCTCCCGTGTATTCCTCATATTGTTCTGTTGTTTCCCATCTACCGTTTATCCCTGATAAGTTTCTGTTGTTTCCCATCTCTCGTGTATCCCTAATATCGTTCTGTTGTTTCCCATCTCCCGTGTACCCCTAATATTGTTCTCTGTTTTTTCTCATCTCCTGTGTACCCCTGATATTGTTCTGTTGTTTCCCATCTCCCGTGTATCCCTGATATTGTTCTGTTGTTTCTCATCTCCCGTGTATCCCTGATATGTTTCTTTTGTTTGCCATCTTCCGTGTATCCCTGATATCGTTCTGTTGTTTGCCATCTTCCGAGTACCGCTGATATTGTTCTCTGTTGTTTCCCATCACTCCTGTATCCCTGATATTGTTCTGTTGTTTCCCATCCCCCTGTACCTGAAATTGTTCTTTTATTTCCCATCCCCCGTGTATCCCTCATATTGTGGTGTTGTTTCCTATCTCCCGTTTATCCCTGATATTGTTCTGTTGTTTCCCATCTCCCGTGTATGCCTGGTATTTTTCGGTTGTTTCTCAGACCCCGTTTATCCCTGATATTTTTCTGTTGTTTCCTATTTCCCGTTTACACCTGATATTGTTCTTTTGTTTCCCATTTCTCCTGTATCCCGGATATTGTTCTGTTGTTTCTCATACCCCGTGTATCCCTGATATTGTTCTGTTGTTTCCTATTTCCCGTTTACACCTGATATTGTTCTTTTGTTTCCCATCTCTCCTGTATCCCGGATATTGTTCTGTTGTTTCTCAGACCCCGTTTATCCCTGATATTTTTCTGTTGTTTCCTATTTCCCGTTTACACCTGATATTGTTCTTTTGTTTCCCATTTCTCCTGTATCCCGGATATTGTTCTGTTGTTTCTCATACCCCGTGTATCCCTGATATTGTTCTGTTGTTTCCCATCTCCCGTCTATCCCTAATATTGTTCTGTTATTTCCCATCTCTCGTGTATCCCTAGATATTTTTCTGTTGTTTCCCATCCCCCGTGTACCCTAATATTGTTCTTCTATTTCCCATCCCCCGTGTATCCCTGATATGGTTCTGTTGTTTCCCATCTCCTGTTCTCCCTGATATTGTTCTGTTGTTTCGCATCTCCCATGTATCCCTGATATTGTTCTGTTATTTCCCATCTCTCGTGTATCCCTGTTATTGTCCTGTTGTTTCCAATCTCCCGTGTATCCCTGATACTGTCCTGTTGTTTCCAATACCCCGTGTATCCCTGATATTGTTCTGTTGGTTCCCATCTCCCGTGTATCCCTGATATTGTCCTGTTGTTTCCCATCTCTCGTGGATCCCTGATATTGTTCTGTTGTTTCCCATCTCCCGTGTATCCCTGATATTGTCCTTTTGTTTCCCATCTCTCGTGTATCCCTGATATTGTCCTGTTGTTTCCCATCTCACGTGTACCCTGATATTGTCCTGTTATTTCCCATCTCATCGTGTATCCATGATATTGTCCTGTTGTTTCCCATCTCTCGTGTATCCCTGATATTGTTCTGTTGTTTCCCATCTCTCGTGTATCCCTGCTATTATCCTGTTGTTTCCCATCTCTCGTGTATCCATGATATTGTCCTGTTGTTTTCCATCTCACGTGTACCCTGATATTTTCCTGTTGTTTTCCATCTCACGTGTACCCTAATATTGTTCTGTTATTTCCCATCTTACGTATGCCCCTGATAGTGTTCTCTGTTGTTTCTCAACCCCCATTTATCTCTGATATCGTGCTGTTGTTTCACATCTCCCATGTATCCCTGATATTGTACTGTTGTTTCCGATCTCACGTGTACTCCTGATATTTTTCTTTTGTTTCTCATCCCCCGTGTATCCCTGATATTGTTCTGTTGTTTCCCATCTCCCGTTTATCCCCGATATTGTTCTGTTGTTTCCCATCTCCTGTGTACCCCTGATATTGTTCTGTTGTTTCCCATCTCTCGTTTATCCCTAATATTGTTCTGTTGTTTCCCATCTTACGTATGCCCCTGATAGTGTTCTCTGTTGTTTCTCAACCCCCATGTATCTCTGATATCGTGCTGTTGTTTCACATCTCCCGTGTATCCCTGATATTGTTCTGTTGTTTCCCATCTCACGTTTACTCTGATATTGTTCTCTGTTGTTTCTCATCCCCTGTGTATCCCTGATATTGTTCTGTTGTTTACCATCTCCCGTGTATCCCTGATATTGTTCTGTTGTTTCTCAGACCCCGTGTATTCCTGATATTTTTCTGTTGTTTCCTGTTTCCCGTTTACCCCTGCTAATATTTTGTTGTTTCCCATTTGCAGTGTATCCGTGATATTGTTCTTTTGTTTCCCATCTACCGTGTAACCCTGATATGTTACTGTTATATCCAATTGCTCCTGTATCTCGGATATTGTTCTCTTGTTTCCCATCTCCCGTGTACCCCCAATATTGTTCTGTTGTTTCCAATCTCCCATGTACCCCTGATATTGTTCTGTTGTTTCCCATCTCCCGTGTACCCCTAATATTGTTCTGATGTTTCCAATCTCCCGTGTACCCCCAATATTGTTCTGTTGTTTCCCATCTCCCGTGTACCCCTGATATTGTTCTGTTGTTTCCCATCTCTCGTGTATCCCTGTTATTGTCCTGTTGTTTCCAATCTCCCGTGTATCCCTGATATTGTCCTGATGTTTCCCATACCCCGTGTATCCCTGATATTGTTCTGTTGTTTCCCATCTCCTGTTCTCCCTGATATTGTTCTGTTGTTTCCCATCTCCCGTGTACCCCTGATATTGTTCTTTTGTTTCCTATCTCCCATGTATCCCTGATATGTTACTGTTATTTCCCATCTCCCGTGTACCCCTGATATTGTTCTGTTGTTTCCCATCTCTCGTGTATCCCTGATATGGTTCTGTTATTTCCGATTCCCCGTGTATCCCTGATATGGTCCTG